TGGGGTCTGTTAACATTCGCTTGCACTTGCAAACCAAGTTGATGCTAGGTTTACGCGCAAAGCGCGTGGTCGGAAAACGCATGGCGCCCAATGTGTTGACCGCAAATGGTCATCCCTGAAGAAGTTTAGCCCGAAAGAGTTGGCATCCAAACGATCCAATGGCGGATTGAATGCACAGATCCAAGAATATATGTATAGCTTTGTGTGACGCTGTAATACACCGTCTAAGCACCAACTGCAGAAGTTGGGTCAGATGGCACAGAAGGAGTGGACCGCGTGAAAAGGAGTGGCACGCCTCAGGGAGTGGATGTGTGTTAAGTTTCATGAAAGCCAGAGAAACGATTAAAGATCCGTTTTTTTTACTTCCGGGTCCCCGAACGCACTGTCATTTCACAATGAAATTACGATTTGAAGGGCGTTTTGTGGTGTAAAAACACATTCAAAATGACATTGACCTAAAAAAGGCATCACCATAAAGTGCCACACGGGTTATGAAAAACGACCCGAAGATGCTTCTGAGAACGCGCAAATCGCGCGGGGCCGTTGCAGCGGGCGTGACCTAGTTTTTGTGTGTGGGGGAAGAGAGGGCCTCTCATTTATAGTTAGGAAGCCGATAAAGTATCTCTAGCAGCTCTAGCATTCTATAGCCGAAGGGACCGTCACTGTGTCGTTGTGCCTTGGGAGTGGTTTTCTTTGGCCTGCCGCATTTCAAGAGGATCGCTGCGTGGGATTGATGTAAACGGCAACAACAAGTGGCTATGGTTCTAACTAACAGATGAATTACTTCCAAATGTATCAACCTCCCGAATCATGAAATTATCAAGGCTAAAAGGAAGCTGTTATGAGAAGCGTGTAAAGATTGATTCAGACACTTTTCACATGAGCGGTTACCGAAGCCAACTTTCAGGATCAAAAAGGTCACCAGAAGCCTGTTGAATCCACAAGGTTTATGAGCCCAACGGCCCTATGCAGCAACTGACCAGAAAAGACCACCGCAGGCGCACGACTTTGCCGGAGGAGGCCCCTGCCGTGACTGTGAGGACTGCAGCGAGCTTTACCCATGCTAGAGGCCAGCGGTGGAGCTACAATGCCTGGGATCAAATTGGTAGCGGAGTTGGAGTACAAGATGTTTGGGCGGATGATAGCGCGGCAGAACGCCTTGCCCTTGGCTGAAGTGGAAGAAGGGCTTGGGAGTCAGGCTTCGGATTCGACTTGAGTGGACATCCTGGGATTGGGAAAGAAAATGATGAACACGCTGGGCTCGGCATTCTCGAAGTGCCAACTTGAGAGCGAGGAGCTCTTTTTGGTGGCGATGGAGAGCTGGAACAGGTGGAATGGCAGCCGAGTGGAGGCTTTCTGAACTACACGATCACTCGCGCATGAAGTCAAACTCCTACATGAGGACGCAGTGGTACCGAGGAAAGCTTCGTCGATGGCAGCAGGGTTTGAGCAGAAGCTGGTAGCCTGGTAGCGGCAGCGAAGCTTCCAGACAAGGCGTATGGAAGAATTGCTACGGGGTTGAAGTTGGAGCAGGAGTCATTGGTTACAGGGGATGAGAAGAAGAGGATTGCAGACGATGAGAAGAACAAAGAGAAGGAAGAGTGGCCAAATGGCATGTGAAAAAGGAAAGCGCACAAAGTCACAAAGTGAGAGTCACCGTAGAAGTTGAGGCAAAAGAATGTGCCAAGAGAAGGGACGGCCAGACTTCGGGAGCATCTTCATCGAGAAACGAACAGGGACTCCGCTGTCCTCAGATCGCTGGAAAGAAGTGACGTTGTGGGATGACTGGAGTAGCCGAGCTAATTATGCAGAGCTAAAACAGCTCAAGGAGAACAACGTCTTGGCTGGCGGCTATTCGGGGCACACCCAGCATACCACCAATCCATTCTCACACCTGCGAATCCCACGTGGATGAGCCGAAGACCCATGCGCGCGTGGAAAACTTGAGCTGTGCTGTGACAGTTGTGACTTAGCGGTCAGGTTGGCTGACGGGAATAATACCATGGAGTACCCAAATGCTTCATGGAGCACTGCAGCTGAGGGCATAGGGGCCTTGAAGTTGTGCAATGTTGAGATTGAGCGATAAGTCCACAGTTTGTGGGTGAGTGGTTTGTTCTGGCTTAGCTTACACTGTCTTGAACATGGCAGTGGAGGGTCTTGATTTCCTGATGGGTCTCAACTCTTAACTAAGTTTGACACCACTTGTTTAACTGAGGTTCCGAAGTACAATGGCATGAGGAGACTCTGATGAGCTGGATGGTAAACGGCACGCGCGGTGAGAGGTGAGAAGAAACACAGAAGAAGCCAGAGGGGCCATGGGGCGCAACAGGCCGACCACAGGCCTTTCTCAAGGTCTTTTTTGGAACGTAATGTAGTAGGCTTTGTTACTTCCTGATATTTACTGTGTTGAAGAATTTGATGGGAAAAGAAGCCCGCTCACTCGAGGTAAAATACGGTCAAATGATGCAAAATGCATCCTTTCTCAAGTCATGATTGTCCGTGGCGACTTCCAAATGCTTGATATTGGCACAGGAGCTGCGCAAGGCAGCTGAGAGTATCAGCAAGGAGCTGCGTGAGCGGATGATTCTTAGCGCAGCTTCTCTCCCTGCACCGCGTGGCCCCGCAAATTATGGGCAGTCAAGTATTTGATTCAGTTTGCCGGACTTGGCAGAAGAGCGGCTGCGACAGTATTGTGGCTCGGTCCACATCAAGCCTTTAGATGCAGGTGTCCCAAAATGACCGCCCGAAAGCTACGCGTGCGTAAAGGTTAGGGATTACCATAATCATACTGCATAAAACACATGTGTCCGGCCCTAAACAGTATTTTGCTGGGCTTCAATTGCTAGGGCACATAGGTCCGAATAGATTAGGCATTAGGGCACGTGGGTTCCGGCGCCTGCACTCTTAAATGCGAAGAATCTATGTATCAACATGGCGTTTGCAAATGGCAAGGGAAGACCCTTCGATTTGGCAGGTTTTCTCAATTATCGATTTTTGTATGTGGGGGAAGAGAGGGCCTTTTATTTATAGTTAGGAAGCCGATAGAGCTCTAGCATTCTATAGCCGAAGGGACTGTCACTGTGTCGTTGTGCCTGGGGAGTGGTTTTCTTTGGCCTGCCGCATTTTAAGAGGATCGCTGCGTGGGATTGATGTAAACGGCAACAACAAGCGGCTATGGTTCTAACCAACAGATGAATTAATTCCAAATGTATCAACCTCAAGTCAGACACTTTTCACATGAGCGGTCACCGAAGCCAACTTTCAGGATCAAAAAGGTCGCCAGAAGCCTGTTGAATCCACAAGGGTTATGAGCCCAACGGCCCTGTGCAGCAACTGACCAGAGCCAGAAAAGACCACCGCAGGCGCACGACTTTGCCGGAGGAGGCCCCTGCCGTGACTGTGAGGACTGCAGCGAGCTTTACCCACGCCGGAGGCCAGTGGTGGAGCTACAATGCCTGGGATCGAATTGGTAGCGGAGTTGGAGTACAAGATGTTTGGGCGGATGATAGCGCGGCAGAACGCCTTGCCCTTGGCTGAAGTGGAAGAAGGGCTTGGGAGTCAGGCTTCGGATTCGACTTCAGTGGACATCCTGGGATTGGGAAAGAAAATGATGAACACGCTGGGCTCGGCATTCTCGAAGTGCGAACTTGAGAGCGAGGAGCTCTTTTTGGTGGCGATGGAGAGCTGGAACAGGTGGAATGGCAGCCGAGTGGAGGCTTTCTGAACTACACGATCACTCGCGCATGAAGTCAAACTCCTACATGAGGACGCAGTGGTACCGAGGAAAGCTTCGTCGATGGCAGCAGGGTTTGAGCAGAAGCTGGTAGCCTGGTAGCGGCAGCGAAGCTTCCAGACAAGGCGTATGGAAGAATTGCTACGGGGTTGAAGTTGGAGCAGGAGTCATTGGTTACAGGGGATGAGAAGAAGAAGATTGCAGACGATGAGAAGAACAGAGAGAAGGAAGGGTGGCCAAATGGCATGTGAAAAAGGAAAGCACACAAAGTCACAAAGTGAGAGTCACCGTAGAAGTTGAGGCAAAAATGTGCCAAGAGAAGGGACGGCGAGACTTCGGGAGCATCTTCATCGAGAAACGAACGTGTGAGAAGTTAGCATGAACACCCTGCTGCAAGAATGACACGCACGATACGATGTGTGTAACACAGCGGTTCAAGCATTCGCGAAAAGCCCGCGACTTTCAGATGGTAGCGGAGCACTGGTTCCAACCGGTGCGATGATGCTACCCGGCCGCCTCCTGGCGTGGTGCCATGTCGCATGGCAGGTCCTGATCCTGCCGATGGAGCACCTCGCGAAGGAAGCTGCCGCGGGAA